GGCTCACCGCAACCTTCGCCTCCTGGGTTCAGGCAATTCTCCTGCCTCAGCCTCCCGAGTAGCCGGGACTACAGGCACGCGCCACCATGCCCACCTAATGTTTTGTATTTTTAGTAGAGACGGGGTTTCACCGCGTTGATCAGGATGGTCTCGATCTCTTGACCTCGTGATCCACCTGCCTTGGCCTCCCAAAGTGCTGGGATTACAGGCGTGAGCCACCGTGCCGGGCCTGTTCAATGATTTTTTAAAGATAAGCCAACTAGCTGGGCATGGTGGCTCATGCCTGTAATTCTAGCACTTTGGGAGGCTGAGGCAGGTGGATCACCCGAGGTCAGGAGTTCGATACCAGCCTGGCCAACATGATAAAATCCCATCTCTACTAAAAAATAAAAAAATAGCTGAGCATTGTGGCATGTGCCTGTACTCCCTGCTACTGGGCTGGCTGTGGCATGAGAATAGCTTGAGCCTGGGAGGCAGAGTTGCAGTGAGCCGAGATCATGCCACTGCACTCTAGTCTGGGTGACAGAGCAAGACTCTGTCTAAAAAAAAAAAAATAGCATATCAAAGTGAGGCCTAGTGTGGCCTCTCCCATCATGTCCCTGTGGGCTGTCCTGGGACCAAGGCAGAAGTGATTTGTGTGGCTCCTGAGCCAAGGGAGCGAGCCCGGCCGAGGGCTTCAGCTCACCAGGAGGAAGACCTGGGGACACTGGGCTCCTGGGGCCGGGGGCTGTCAGCAGAGCCCTTCATGGCCTGGAGCAGAACACCCCCACTTCTCCCCTCCAGCTGTGCCTGGGATACTGTTTGGTGTCTTCTGAAGCTCAGTGTCCCTCTGCCATTGGCATCTTCTCCCTGAGCTGGCCCCTCAGAGGCCGGGAGCAGGCATCCGTGTTCACCAGGGGCTGCTTCATGTCGTCATTTCTGGTGGGCCCTCTGAGGCCAGGGGTGTCCATGCCCATTGGCCTACTAAGGACAGCAGCAGAGGTGGCCCAGAGGCTGGGAGAGGGACGGGGCAGGAAACTAGCCCCCAACACACGCAGGCACCCTGAGAGCTGTTTAGCAGGTGTTCACAGAGCACCCCCTCAGTGCCAGGCCCTTCATGAGCCCTGGGATCCCCGAGGGCTCTGGGGCACTGTGCATTGCTGATCAGGGACTCACAGTGAGAGATGCTCCTCCCACAGTGACCCTGCCATTTGGCCTGACCTGATCACACCCTCCCTATGCTTCCCGGTTCCCCACCAAACCTGCCCGCAAGTCCAAGCCCACTGGCCTGGCCAGCGGGACTCTGGTGATCCAGCCTGGCCCTCCTCTTCCACCAGCCTCCAGAATCTGCTCTCCCAGGCCTCAGAGCCATGCTGTTTCCCACTGCCTGCCTTGGCCTCCCTCTTCATCATATAATCAATGACGCTCACTTGTCCTTTGAGGCCTGGCTCCAACCTCCCTCCCCCAGGGAGCCTTCTGTGGCACTCCCGATAGGTTGAGTGCCCTTTCGGGGGCTCCCTCTCCACTGGTTTTCTTCTGAGCCCCTGGTGCCCAGTGAAGGATGTGGCACAGAAGAGACTTCACCGTAAAAGCAAGGGAGACGCGTGGCAGGCCCTGGGGACAGGCTGGGCACTCCCCTGACCAGCTGGCCCTTGTGCCTCCCCAGGGCTGGGATTGGACTGGGACCCCTCCAGGCACTGACTTCCAGGTACCTCTGAGATTTCTAAGAGGTCAGCTGGGAGGAGCATGGAGTGGGAGTGACAGTGGGTTAGAGGGTAGAGGGGGAGAGAGAGGAAAGAAAGTTTTGGCCAGAGATAGACAGGGGATGTCAGCAAGGAGGTGACCCTGAGCCAGTGTTCCTGGCCTCCCGGGGTGCTGAGCAGAGATGTCCTTTGTGTTCAACTGGACTCTGCCCCCAGGGGCTGGCCTCAGGGCACTCAGGCGCCTTCCACAACCTGCAGCATGCTCTGGAGTACTCAGCACTGTCTAAGCACTGTACACGTGTGTACATTCACACATGCACCCGTTCAATCCTCACGGGAGCCCCATGAGGGAGGCACTGCAGATCACAACCCCTGATCCACACGTGCCAAGCCCAAGAAGCTCTGAAAACCTAACATTGCTTCCAAGTTTACTGCAGAATTCATTTATTGGCAAACCTGACCCAAACTGATGTGAGGCTATTTATGCCTTATTTCACCTGTTGGTGAGAACATTTATGTTTTCCTATGGAGGCACTAATGGCTTTAATAATAGGACACAGATCTTGCAGAGGCCATTACAGAATATATAGAACATGTACCATTTTGCCTATTTTATTTTATTTTATTTTGAGACAGGGCCTCGCTCTGTTGCCCAGGCTAGGGTGGAGTGGCGTAATCTCAACTCACAGCAGCCTCCACCTCCCAGGTTCAAGTGATTCTCTTGTTTCAGCCTCCCCAGTAGCTGGGACTACAGGCACCCACCACCATATCGGCTAAGCTTTGTATTTCTAGTATAGACAAGATTTCACCATGTTGGCCAGGCTGGTCTTGCACTCTTGGCTTCAAGTGATTCACCCATCTCAGCCTCCCAAAGTATTGGGATTATGGGCGTGAGCCACCATGCCCAGCCCATTTTGCCTCTCTGTACTTCACAATTACTGAATTCCAAAGTGTACCTGGTTCTAGGAGTTTCAGACCTGTGTTATTATTCTTCCTAACAGATGAAGAGACAGAAATGTTTACTAACCTGCTTGAAGTCACCAGCTGGGTCCGGAAGGCTGGCCTGGGATAAGGGAAGGGTGGGGCATGGTGGAGGTAGGCAGTGCCATCCGCCTGGTGCCGGCCTTTCCATTTTCCTCAGCATGCCTTTAAATGGACAGATGGTTGGATCTGGGCTTGGACTGGTGTTTGGGGTGCAGGGGTTTGGGAGGCCAGGTTGGGAGAGGCTGCTCACTCTCTGTCCTTTCTCCAGATGGTGTGGTCCTGGTGGATCCTGAGTATCTGAAAGAGAGGAGAGGTAGGCTGCGGCCCCCACCCCTAGCCTGCCAAGGACCTCCTCTTCCCCCCGGACCTCTAGCATAGGGTCTCCCTGCCCGTCCCCACTGGTTCCCCTGAAAGCCCCAACAAATACCCGTGCGGTTGCCCTTGTCTTCTCCAGCCTGGGCCGGCCCTGCCCCAATCTACTTTGGGAGAAGGTTTCCCCATGCCCTGAGCTCTTTTACATCAACATGTCATGACTATGGCAGGGCGGGGGGTGCCAGCAGGGCAGCAACAGGGTCTCCTTTAACAAAACAGAACACTGATACTGGGGCAGTATCAACGCACATCCAACGTCAGCAGGAAGACAGGAGTGGGGGACTGGGCTGTGACAAGATCCTTGCTTTCCAGACACCACCTAGCACTTGCCATGCCCCCACCACTCCCTGCTCCTTCCCCAGGCTCCCCAGGCCTGCCAGACTACTCCAGCCACCCCCAAGCCTGTCAGACCATTTCCATACTCCTCCACACAAGCCCTGGGGAGAGGTGGGAGGGGAAGGACAGCGCTGGCTCAGCAGGCAGCCCCTCCTCCTCCTGGGGGTGAGGCCGTGGCATCCTTCCAGGTGCTCAATACTGGCCCCTCCTGGTGGAGACAGTACAGCCATCCCCACAGAGCTTGGGACAGGCCTCGGGTCCTCAGTGGGGAGGGTCTCTGGGCTGCAGCGGGCACTCTGCAGGGCTCGTCTGCTGCTCTCCCCGGCCCCCCCTCAGTGCTCCCTGCTCCCCACAGTCTATGTGACGCTGACCTGCGCCTTCCGCTATGGCCGGGAGGACTTGGATGTTCTGGGCCTGACCTTTCGCAAGGACCTGTTTGTGGCCAACGTGCAGTCCTTTCCACCGGCCCCCGAGGACAAGAAGCCCCTGACGCGGCTGCAGGAGCGCCTCATCAAGAAGCTGGGCGAGCACGCCTACCCTTTCACCTTTGAGGTCAGGGACTGCCATCCCTGGGGCCCCATTCCAGAAGCGCCGCCTCTAGGAAGCCCTCTGGGGTGGGCACAAGGGGCGGTGAGGGTCAGCTGCTCCCTGTCACCCGGTTTCCCAGTGGACACTGGGACCTGGGGCACTGGGGCACTGACACCTGTGTTACCTGGTAAGTGTCTGTTCTTCAGCCCCTGCTGGGGGTGTCACCCATAACTCTGGGCTACTCCTCAGAGCCTTCTGAGGCCAGGTCATTGGTGGGAGAAAGGTGGGGGCAAAGGGACTTCAGAGAAAGAAGGAGCCCTTTCTTGCCCCTGAGTCACTGCAAGGTGTCTCCCACTCAGATCAGCTCCCCACTTGCCTGGCCGCCCAGCTTGCAAGCAAGGGATGGCAAGCAGGTGATCTTTCTGCCCCACCACCTTTCAAATCAGAGACTTTGAGACACTGGATTTCAAAATCTCATGTTTCCGGCCAGGCATGGTGGCTCACGCCTGTAATCCCATCTCTTTGGGAGCCCAAGGTGGGCAGATCATGAGGTCAGGAGAGTAAGACCATCCTGGCCAACATGATGAAACCCCATCTCTACTAAAAATACAAAAATTAGCTGGGTATGGTGGTGTGTGCCTGTAATCCTGCTACTCGGGAGGCTGAGGCACAAGAATCGCTTGAACCCAGGAGGTGGAGGTTGAAGTGAGCTGAGATTACGCCACTGCACTCCAGCCTGGCAATAGAGCGAGACTCCGTCTCAAAAAAAAAAAAAAAAAAAAAATCTCATGTTTCTTAGATTCTCTGATTTAGAGATTCAGTGCAGTCCCTTCCTTAGCTCCCTATGGCTGCTGGCTGCTGGCTGCTGAAACAAATTGCCACAAGTTTGGCGGCAATTAAAATGACACAGATGTATACGCTTACAGCTCTGGAGGTCAGAAGTCCTCAGTGGGCTACCATGGAGGCATGGCAGGGCTGGCTCCCCTGGAGGCCCTCGGGAAGCGTCCACCTTTTCCAGCTTTGCTTTCCTCGGCTCACGGCGCCTTCCTCCATGGTCAAAGCCAGCAGCGGCCGGTTGAGTCTTGCACATCCCGTCACTCTGGTTAGGACACTTCTGCCTCCTGCTTCCACTTCTAAGGACCCTCCTGATTCTATCGGGCCCACCAGAACCATCCAGGATACTATCCCCATCTCAAGGCCTTAATCGGATCTGCAAAGTCACTTTTGTCATTAAGGTCCAAGGTTTTGGGGGGTTAGGGTGTAGACATCTTTGGGGGACCATTATTCTGACTACCACAGTAGACATCACAGAAAGATCTATTTAAACTGTTGCTGTGAGGACTGGGCTGGGCCAAACCCTTTAGACAAAGAAAACTCAGACACTTGGGCATGGTTTGGCATGGTCTGATGGGGTAGACGTGGCCTGTTCCCAGGGGCCCCAGGTCTGATGGGTGTATGGGAGTGTCTGGGGTGCAAGACATGAGAAAGGACAGTGGCAGATGTGACAGGTGGCTCATTCTGTCTTCCTCTTGACAGATCCCTCCAAACCTTCCATGCTCTGTGACATTGCAGCCGGGCCCCGAAGACACGGGGAAGGTAGGTTACCCCAAGGGGACCATTTCTCTGGCTCGAGGACTCTCATGTCCCCAGGTCCCTGGCTTTCTTCCTGGGAAGTGCTGGACACACAGTAACCCTCTCCCTGTTGAAGAGTCTTTGTGTCTAGGCTAGGCTGGTCCCACCTTGGACAACCAGTCTCTCTTCAGACAGGGCAGCAGGTATGGGGTCAACCTCACTCTCCCATCCAGTGGTGGGTCCAGAGGCCCTCCTGAGTCACCCTCGCTGGTCGTGGTGTGGGCTGCAACAGGACCAAAGTGTTCTGAGGACCTACACCTGGCCTCATGTAACCCCTGGCAATCTTGATTCAAGGCGCGATCATCCCCATTTCACAGATGGGGAAACTGAGGCTTGGAGAGAAGTGACACCAGTAATGTCCCAGGCTCTGGACCTTTGATCCCAGCTTCCTCATCTGCAGAGTGGAGATCACAGCATGTGCCTCCTTGTCTTGTTAAAGGGATACTGGAGAAAGCCACCCAGGGCCAGGTCTGCACACAGAAGTAGGTACACTCAGTCTGCTCAGGTGCCTGTTGCTATTTCTGAGCAGCTGCCTGGATGAGGATGGCCACCCAGACTAAGAGAGGAGCCCAAAGAGCAGAGCCACATTAGGGTGGTTTGGGATGTCCCATGTTAGATGCAGGAGGCAGCACAGCTCTGGGGCTAAGCACAAGGGCATTTCCCGGCTTCTTCCAGACCAAGGAGGGCTGGGCTGTGGGAGCTTGGTGTTCCCGTCCAGTGTCCTCGTTTGTAAAATGAGAGATAGGCGGCTGCGCACCGGGGACACTGCTTCTCCAAGGCCCTGCAGTCAGTGAACCCTTCCCCACAGGCTTGCGGTGTGGACTATGAAGTCAAAGCCTTCTGTGCGGAGAATCTGGAGGAGAAGATCCACAAGCGGTGAGTAGGATGCCAGGGTGTGGGCCGCCTGCTGGGTGAGGAGGGAGACAGGATGGGCAAAGCCCTGTAACAATACCTGGAAGTGTGTGAGGAGGGGTGCACATTCCAGCCTTGGGAGCTCTGAGAAGGGCACTCTGGAAGCCGGTAGGTCACGGAGGGCTTCCTGGGGGAGGTGGTTTCAACTGCCTGGGTTCAGGCTGCAGCATCTTCTCCTTTGCACCATTGTGGCAGCTTCCTCCCTCATCTCCCTGCCCCTCGTTTCATCCCCTCTAGACTGCATATCTTTTTAATTTGTTTTGGAAAAACCCTAAATTCAGATTGTGTTCAACAGTGAGCAGGCTGTTTCCTGACCATCCCCATTTTCCAGTTTTCCTCTTGGGAGGTGTTCAGCAGGGGTGGAGTGTGTGTCAGTGGCAGCTTCTGAGGGAGGAGGAAGTGGAGATAGTGAACCCACCCAGGGGAGAGTGATGGGGAGGTCGACCCACATCTGAGAGAGGGGAAGTGTTCTCTGGAGAGGCACAGCCCGGGCAGACGGAGAGCCCAGGCTGGCAGCCAGAAACAGCTGGCCCGGATGTCTCATGCCTGCCCCCTTGGGTCGGGCTGTGCTCTGCCAGCCTCCTGGAATGGCTGACCTCAGGCCCCCCCCCAGCCCCCCAACGCTGATGTTCCTGCATCCAGAGGCACCGTTCCCGGAGAAGGCTGGCTGAGGGCACAGCAGCCTCTTTAGGGCGAAAGCTGAGTTTGCCACCTGGTGGCTATAGGGTGTATTGCATGCATTTGCATCTGCAGCCCAGGCAGCTGTATGTGGGAGATGGGACTTTTCTCCCTTGCTTCCCTGTCTCCCTTTTCCTCTTAAGACCTGAGACCAGGGAAAAGGACGGGTGCTATGGGATGTGGGAGGAAGCTTGGTAAGCACAAGAAAGAGGAGGTGACTTTGAGAGCCACCCTCTTACCCTACCACCAATGGGACATTTAAAATCCAGATAATGGTACAGAAGCTATCATTTATCAAGGGCTGATTAGGTGCCAGACACCATTCACAGTGCTGGGTGTGTATGAACTGATTTAATCCTCACAGCAACTCTAAGAGGTAGGTCCTGGCTGGGTGCAGTGGCTCTCACTTTCAAAGGCTGAGGTGGGCAGATCACTTGAGGCCAGGAATTCCAGATCAGCCATGGCCAACAGGGTAAAACCCCATCTCTACTGAAAATACAAAAATTAGGTGGGTGTGGTGGCACATGCCTGTAATCCCAGTTACTCGGAAGGCTGAGGCAGGAGAGTCGTTTGAACCAGGGAGGCGGAGGCTGTAGTGCGCTGAGATCACACCACTGCACTCCAGTCTGGGCAACAGAGTGAGACTCCATCTCAAAATAAACAAACAAATAAAAATTTAAAAAGGAAAAAAAGAGATAGGTCCTTCTATCATCACCCTTACAGATGAGGGAACGGAGGCAGAGAGAGATTAACGTACCCAAGGTCACATAGTTAGTGAGAGGAGAGCTGGGAGTTTGACCCTGGCTCTCTGGTTCCAGGCAATGGAGGCAGCTTATCTGAGCAATGGCGATGCCAGCGTTTTCAGCACGCCTCAGAGACGGCCTCACCGAGTCCCTCTCCCTCCCGAGATCCTTTTGCTCCCTGAGCCCCTGTAACCATGGAGCCAGTTTCATCCCTGGGCCTTCTCCCCTCCCTGGGGTTGTCCCCTTCACTGGCTGGCATCCCCCTGACTGAATCCACATCTCCTCCCTGAACCCCAACACCTCCCCAAGCCCTATTTCTTCGTGGGGCCCCTGTCCCCTCTGCATAGATATCTGACAGGTGTTTATTATATGGCAGGCACAGCATAGGTGCTCAGAGTACCGCTGTGAACACTTTAGACACAACTTTCTGTCCTTAAAGAGCTTATACAAATAGTTTCCTATGTGATCAAAATAGATGACAGAGGGACACTGTTTGTGTAAGGTGACATAGGGAGGCAGGAAGTGAAAATGTCACCTGTTTGGTGACATAGGGGAGCAGGAGGTGAAAATGCAGTCCCTGTTTCAGCATCCTGCTGGGTATCAGGACCCTGTGCGGCCACAGGGCCACTCTGTGACAGAACAGGGGAGAATGGAATGGGGCCAGATGGTAACAGGACCCCTATGCTGACATCTGCAGTTTGGCTGGATTCTAAGGCAATGGAGAGCCATGGCAGTCTCTTGAGCAGGAGAGTGATGTGAGGCTCGCAAGGAGAGGGGATGAAGGCAGTTGACCCTGGTCTTCTTTCACTCCGCCCATCTCCATTAGGAATTCTGTGCGTCTGGTCATCCGGAAAGTTCAGTATGCCCCAGAGAGGCCTGGTCCCCAGCCCACAGCCGAGACCACCAGGCAGTTCCTCATGTCGGACAAGCCCTTGCACCTAGAGGCCTCCCTGGATAAGGAGGTAGGAGACTTGGCAGGGGGCGGCAGGGGACTTCTCCACCAGGGCCTGGCCTCAGATCCCTGCTCTCTCCTGGCCTGCAGGGATGCCTCAGGCAAGAGCTCCTACCCCCAGCCCGAGGACCACAGGGTTCAGGGAATCTGAGACCTCCCCTGGGGGATTTGGAGAAGCCTCTTGGGCCTAAAGGAGTGGCAGAGGGGGCATGAACCTGAGGGATGTGACAGACTTCAGAAGGGAGCAGCAGACCCTCCCGAAGGTCCTGGACATCCCCTCCACCTCCATCAGCTGCCTGCCTCAGTCTGAGAGCTGAAGGCCAGCGAGCTCTGCAAAGGGGACGGGGAGGCCGTGACCTCCCCTCCAACCCTGAGCATCAGGGCAACAAGCCCTGCAGAAGGAAGGGCCTCCCCTCAAGCTCTGATTCAAACCCAGCTGACTGACGCCTGCTGTGAGCTCGGGCTGGCCCTTCCGTGAGATGTGGGCACCCCCCTCTCTCGGGGCATGGCTGAAGGCACGTGTCTTGGGCAAGATGCAAGTTAAGGCCTTCTGGGAGAGATTCAGAGCTGGCTCTCTCAGTGAGCTGGTCAGCCACTCCTCACCTTTCCCTGCTTCTTCCAGATCCTTCCGTGGACAGATTTTAGCACTGGCAGGGTCTTATGACATCACCTAGTCCAACCTCTTCATTGCACAGAGGGAGACCCTGAGGCTTAGATAACCTCCCCCAGGTCACACTGCTTTTCTCATGTCGTGATTACTGGTGGCCAAGCCAGGGCTGGAGCCCACGACTGTCACCTTCCAATTCCGTTATCTTTCAAGGGTCCCTCCAGGGAACTGAAGGCCTAGTGTGCTTGGTGGCTTTCATGTACCTTAGCAGCAATGGGAAGCGGCTGAAGAACTTAAGGCAAATGTCAGAATGCCCAAGGTCTGAGGAACCCCAGAAGATCATGGGGGGCTTTTCTCCCTCCTCTTTCCCTAGAACCTTGCTATCCTCTCAGCCATCCCTTCTTATGCCCCCCAGATCTATTACCATGGAGAACCCATCAGCGTCAACGTCCACGTCACCAACAACACCAACAAGATGGTGAAGAAGATCAAGATCTCAGGTACCCCAGGCCAATGATCAGCATAGGGGGCAGGAGAGGCAGCCTTCCCATGGGCTGGGGGTGGCTGACGGGTCTCCCTTGTTAACAGCCTTGTATAATAAGTAGCTACTGAAGCCCAGGGCCTGCCCTGAGCCACAGGGCCCCACTTTTGAGGCGGGTCAGGCAGGCTGCTCATTGGCCAGGTAATGAGTTTACTCTTTAAGCCGCCTCTTCTCTTCAGTTTCTTGGGTTCTGGGCAAAGCTGTCCTTGAGGGGAAGGCTTTGGTTATGGAAGGAAATGCGTGTGTTTTGGGGCTACCCTTTGGATGGAAGACAGAGGTAGTCTCAGGCAGAAGTCCCTGCTGGTGGCCTCTGGCCATTGCCTGGGGCTGAATATCCCCAACCCCAGGAAGCCTGAGAGACTCCATGGGAGCTGCATTCCAGACTCACTCCACCGCATTCCTCTCCCTCCCCAGTGCGCCAGTATGCAGACATCTGCCTTTTCAGTACAAGTGCCCTGTTGCCATGGAAGAGGCTGAGTAAGTGAGCACACATCTGGCCTTGGGCATGTGGGACTGGGTGGGAAAAAGAAGCTCTAGGTGTCCTGTTACAGGTCCAGGTGTCTCTTCTTCACCTGGCAGAGGGCTGGGCCTCAGACTTCCTTGCCACTCAGAGTAGATAATCCCAAAGAGCCTTTTAGAAATCATCCACCTGATTTAGCTACAAGAAAATGCAAGTTACAATCAAGGAAGAGACCCACTAAAACTAGAATGACAAAACAAGAGCTAATGAATGTAAGGGGATTGGGATTGGGGAGAGAAAATGATTACCTTGTACAAGAAACCTAGGTTGAAGGGAAATACTTGGTTCTGAGCTTCCTGGTAGCCAGGGCAAAGTAGGCAAGGCACTAGGCACACAGCTCTTCTTGTCTGATAAAGGGGTAATCCAGCTCATTGGGTAAAGGGGTTGTGTGTGGGAGTGTAGAGACAAATTATACACACACATTAAAAAAAAATCTAGGTTTGAGGGGAACTACTATGGTTGAGTGTGGACTGAATTGTGTCCCAAGTTTGTTGGCAGTTAAGGCAAGAGGAGAGATTTCAAGTGAAACATCCTTACTTACCTAAAGGAAGTAAACACTCCCATTTAAAGACACACACACTCTTTTTCCTGGCCCTGCAAGTAATTTCTTGGGGCAATTTTACTATGTATGTGTATTTGTTTATATATAATTCCAACCAGTATTTTTTGCAACTTAAAACATTTTAAAAATGTTACTAGGTGGCCTTGGAAACAGTTTTTAATGTCCTGTAGGTGAACATGCTGTGATGAGATCGAGCGTTCCCTGGTTATTGGAGATTTTTGATATTCACTGTTGTTCTTTTTTTAAAAAAATCAGAGCCATGAGGCATAGATTCCAGATGGTAAAGTGAAGTGATCTAGAACAGAGTAACATATAATCCCTAAAGGGTAGAACATCCCAACCCCTGCAGACGGTGCCAGCGTCTGCATAACAAATCCCAGCAGGGATGGCTGGGTAGGTCTTCGCACTCACAGACTTGTTTACTTCTCAGGAAGCCCTGTGGGGCTGGGGTTGCTGCTGTCCCAGTGTGTCTAGGAGGAAGTGGCTAGAGAAATGTGACTTGCAAGCTAGCAAGCAGCAAAGCTGGGGCTGGAACACAGGTCGTCCGACTCCAAGGCTTGCTCACTATCTGCTGCATGTCAGCTCTCTCGTTGGAAAGGATGGGGGATAGAGCAAAAGCAAGCAAACATTGGACAATCAAAACGCACTATACATGATGGATGTGATAAAGCAAGTAAAGTTTTAATTGTTGAGCCTAGATGGTGGGTGTGTGGGTGCCAAAATAGCTTCATTTATGGTTTGTGTGTCGCTATAATGTTTTTTTTTTAATTTGTTTACAGACAGGGCCAGGTGCGGTGTCTCACACGTGTAATCCCAGCACTTTGGGAGGCTGAGGTGGGCAGATTACTTGAGGTCAAGCATTTGAGACCATCCTGGCCAAGATAGTGAAACTCCATCTCTATTAAAAATACAAAAATTAGCTGGGTGTGGTGGTGCGCGCCTGTAATCCCAGCTACTTGGGAGGCTGAGGTAGGAGAATCGCTTGAACCCGGGAAGCAGAGGTTGCAGTGAGCCAAGATCGCACCACTGTACTTCAGCCTGGGTGACAGAGCAAGACTGCCTCAAAAAATAAAATAAAATAAAATTTGTTTAGAGACAAGAGTTTTGCTCTGCTGCCCAGGCTGGAGTACAGTGATGCGATCTTGGCTTACTACAGCCAGCCTCGAACTCCTGCCTCAGCCTCTCAAGTAGGTGTGCGCCACCATACCAGGCTAATGTTTAAAATGTTTTGTAGAGATGGGGACTTGCTCTGTTGCCCAGGCTGGTCTCAAACTCCTGGCCTCAAATGATCCTCCTGTCAGCCTCTCAGATTGCTGGGATTACAGGCATGAGCAACTGTGCCTACTGTGGCTGTAATTTTTTAAATAAATGTGCTTTTTAGCACTGTGCTGCTTGACTATGATAATCTTTTAGAATATACCAGATTCGGTCCTGTTTGTGCATAGAATGTGGATGTGCCTCTTTTGAGTGGCAGTGGTCTCCGGAGCTGGGCTTGCCCAAGTGGTCCCTGTGTCTGGGGGGGATAGAGGTTAGGAGAGGGAGGCTTGGAGCAGGGCCAGATTAGATGTTCTGCTGGGCTGGAGAGCAGGGCTGGGATTGGCTGTGGGGAGGGCCAGCTCCACAGCTGCTTCCCTTCTTCCCAGTGACACTGTGGCACCCAGCTCGACGTTCTGCAAGGTCTACACACTGACCCCCTTCCTGGCCAACAACCGCGAGAAGCGGGGCCTCGCCCTGGATGGGAAGCTCAAGCATGAAGACACGAACTTGGCCTCTAGCACCCTGTGAGGACCTGCCCGCCTAGCCCTGGGCTCCTGGTGCACGTTGCTTTTCACCCTCCTTGGTCCCACCAGTTCAAAGACAAGGCTTAGGCTACCTTCTCCCCAGCCTTGTCCAGGGCCTGTCCTCAGGTGCTTGACTTATCAGGGAAGCTACCTCCTTACTCCCATCCTTATCCAAGGGTGACCGAGGGACTAAGATGGACCGCTAGGCCAGCTCACTCAGGCAGTGCTGGGCTCTGTTACCATGCCCAGGAAAGGGCAACCTGGGAAGGCTTCCTGCAAGAGGTGGCAGCTTCTGACCCAGTGCCTTCAGTCAGATGGGGTATCCCTGAGGAGAGACCAGGGTGGTGATCTGAGTTAGACCCAACATGGGGTGCCCCTCCAAGTCAGGGGCCCCAGGGCCTCTGGTCACTCCTGCTGCACAGTCATCACAGACGCCTCTAGGCTACTCCACTCCAGCACTGCCCTGGTGTGTGGGGCTGCCATCATTCCCTCTTGCAAGTGTGATCCTTCGGCGGGGCTTTGGCCTGTGTCTAGAGCAGCCTCCACTCCCAGCACGGACTCGGCTCTCTTCCCAGCAACTGCACAGCCTCCCACTTACCTGAAGCTTTTTGCCCCGTCTCCACCCGGGCTCGCACTCTCCCCATCTTCAAGACCCAGCTGAGGCACCACCTCCACGGAGAAGTCCTTCCCTGACAGTCCCCACCCCACCCCAGCTGCCTCGCCCTCTGCGAACTTCCCATCTGGCCCTTTCTGCCCATAGATTGCTGAGAGAAGCAGAGTCCATCTGAGGGGAGGAGTAGCCTGGCCCTCACTGTGGGGACGCTGGTGTGGGCAGAGAGAGGGGCTCAACATGGCCACACAGCGAGCGAACCTCACAGCCAGACGTGCAACTGGGGCTCTGGGTCCCCGCTCCCTAACAGCATAGCTTGCCTTCCTCACCTCCATGGGGCCCCACACTGGGCTCTGTTGGACATGGTGACTGAGAGGCCAGCCAGATGGGGGATGGACAGCCACTGCCTCCCAGCATACCCACCCCTGCAGGGTCACGCCCACCCCTCGAGGCCCCTGAACCTGGCTCCCCCCATGTCACTTTGCAGGTTGAGGGAAGGCGCCAACCGTGAGATCCTGGGGATCATCGTTTCCTACAAAGTGAAAGTGAAGCTGGTGGTGTCTCGGGGCGGGTGAGTGCTCTAGCCCAGCCCAAGACCCCTAGTGCAGAGGGGAGCGTCCCAGGCGCCCACAGCCCCCTGCCCCGTTCTGCCTGTTTGCTGTCCTTTCTGCTGCATCCACCTGGGAGGAGGACCTCCTGTCCCTTCTCTTCCTCCCTTGTGTTCCTCTTTCTCCTCCCCTGCCCACTTTCCCTCTCTTCCATCCTTGGCCCTCAGCCCCTCCCTCAGCCCCCGCCCATCTCTTTCTCTCTCTCTCTCTCCTTCTCCTCTTCTATCCTGGGTCTGGGCACGTGCTGAGGATTGGCCATGCCCAGGCGACAGAGTCCTCAGGGTCTATGCAGTGGGGTCCCCCAGAGTGCCATATCCCTCATCACACCTTGGGGCATAGCACCCGCCCCCATGCATGCCCAAGCTGATTTTCTGAGGAAGCAGCTAAAAGGGGCTCAGAACCCACAGCAGGATTGGGGATTTGCTAGCTGGTCAGCTTTCCCATTTTACAGATGGTGAAACAGAGGCCCAAACAGTGCCCCAAACATTGCCTGAAGTCTCCTCCCCTAACTCAGGTCATGGGCTGGGGTCACAGCAGTGGACCAGACTTTCCTGCCCTGGAGCGTAATTTGGTGGAAGCTTGGGGAGAGAAAAAAAAAGAAACTCCTTTTTGTGTGTGTGTGTAACTTAGTTCATACATTTCTATGAAAAGGTTGAAAAGCTAAATCCCATTAGACATTGGGTCTCCTTGATTATTAGAAGAATGCTTCTTGGCAGGTGGCAGTGTGTAATCCTGACCTTATATAATAGGACACCTGAAAATTACAAATCCCAAATGCTGTGTCTGGTGACCCTTCAGGACCCACAGTCTCTCAAACATTCTTGGCAACCCCGGAGTCCTTCCCTCTGCCTTTAAATAGCCCGGCCTCCCTTGGGGCAGTGAGCCCCAGGGTTAATTTTCACACTGCCTTTACAGATGAGGATCCTGGGCCTCAGGGGGTTTGCTGAGCTGGGTCTAGATCCCAGTCCCCCAGGGCAGCACTAATGCCAGTTCCACATATCCCTGAATGAGCAGTCAGGGCTGTGCGGGGTGGGGCGGGGGGCGGGTGGAGTGTGTCCTGTGGGTCTTCGCTATCTGGGGGGCAGCAGAAGTGGTGAATGAATGTGCTTTTTGTTTTCTTCCTCTCTGAACTCTCTCCTGACCACTTCTCCTGCCTCCTCTGACCCACCCAGCCTGTTGGGAGATCTTGCATCCAGGTAAATTCCTCCCTTCCACCTGGTTCACCCACCTTCCTGGAGGGGCTGGAGCCCATTGGCTTGACTGACCAGAATCACAGGGTGCTGGGTTGGAAGGAATCTTGGTGGTCATTTCAGATTGCGGTTCAGGTGTGAGCTGGGAGACACCATTTCTCTTTAACAAACCTCACTTTGCTCTTCCATCCCACCCGAGTGACAGGGACCTTTACAGAGAGCAAAGCCTGATTGCATTGATACAGGGAGTGGGAGCCGGGCACGGTGGCTCACGCCTGTAATCCTAGCACTTTGGGAGGCTGAGGTGGGTGGATCACCTGAGGTCAGGAGTTCAAAACTAGCCTGGCCAACATGGTAAAACCCCATCTTTAAAAAAAAAAAAGAAAGAAAAAAAAAGATACAGGGAGTGGTCCCGAAGAGGGCTGTCTGAATTACCGATCACCTGAATCATAGCAGCTTTTGGAGAAATGCAGACTTCATGGCTTTCAAACTTCTGCACTAATGAGAATGAGCTGCTGCTGGCCGAGTGTTGCTAAGGAGAGGTCCTTAGGAGATCCTCTTTTGTAAACACAGCTTCCTTGCAGCCAGCTCGAAGCACTTAGATTCCAAACATGTATGTATCCTACACACAGCAGTTTGGCCTTCTGTCACAAGATGGCAATGTGGCTCATCCTAAGAAATCTTAGTCTAATTTGACAGGTGAAATTCATTCAATTCAATTCAGTTCCATATCATTCAGCAAGGATTTCCTCAACCCAGGCTGGTGCCCAGGCTGGTACTGAGTGCCAAAGTCCCAGAGAGGAATCAGGTGTGCCCCCTGCTCTTATTGTTCCTGGCCTGGTAGAAGGTTAAGGTCCAGATTCTTTCCCTAATGTTGGCAAACTTGGTCTTCTACCAGCTTCATTCTGAAGTAGTCCCCAAAGCAAAAGGAAAAAAAGGAAGAAAAAAAGGCCAAATAGTTCTGACAGCCTTATAAAACCCCAGGTTCCCACTGGAGGAAGTAATGATTCTGGCAGGCACAAGCTTCACATTTTTATTTTATTTTTTTTATTCTTTTTGAGAAAAGGTCTGATGCTATTGCCCAGGCTGGAGTGCAGTGGTGCAAACTTGGTTCACTGTGACCTCCTCTGCCTCCTGGGTGGAAGCCATCCTCCCACCTCAGCCTCCTGAGTAGCTGGGACTACAGGTGTGCACTACCATGCCCAGCTAATTTTTGTATTTTTAGTAGAGACGGGTGGTCGGGGGTGGTGTCTCACCATGTTGCCCAGGCTGGTCTCGAACTCCTGAGCTCAAGGGATCTGCCCACCTTGGCCTCCCAAAGTGCTGGGATTATGGGCATGAGCCACTGTGCCTGGTCAAGCTTCACAGTTACTAGCATTTTAGCTGCCTCCTCTCTAGGAAGTTACAGTGGTTCTAGAAGACAGGCGTTGTTATCCCGGTTTCGAAGTTGAGCTCAGTGAGACTCAAAGCCAGAATGCTGCACCAGCGAGTGGTGAGGCTGGCCAAGCAGACCCTTCCAGTTGCCCAGCTTGTGCCTCTGACCACTCCATTCCCTTTCCCTTTCTCCTTCCCAACTGGGCTCTGGGCAACAAGATCAGTGAGATGTGGCTTGTGCCTGGAGGCACTCCTGATGGGGGGGTCTCCTAGGGTGATGCCACCCCAAGCCGAGAGGAGCCTTTGGGGTTACTTTTGTTAGTCTCAGTCCTGCTACTGTCACACAGTGGTCAGGGTGTGGTTATGGAGCCAGAATCCGCTATCACTTGCCATTCATAGCTGCGTAGCCTTGGGCAAGATTTCTTAATCTCCTCATGCTTCAATGCCCCAGTCTGTACACCGGGGATAATAGGGTTGTTTCGAGATTAAATGAGTTACTCTACGGAAGGGGCTTACAGTAATCCTTGGCACAGGGTCAGCACCATGTGAATACCTGCTTTTATTCTCTCTGTCAGGGCCAAACACAGAGAAAGCCCCATCAGTAGCACTGGCTGGTGGCTGGGTCTTCCCAACCACTTTCCCCTGCATCCCCACAGTGGACAGCCTTGGCTCTGGGGCCATCCTAAACCTGACTAAACTGACCTCAACAGTGCCTCATCCAGATTGCAGGGGGTCGCCTGAGCACTTTGACAAGAGTGTCCTGGATGTGTTGGGAGATGGGTTGGTGTCAGGGTAGGAGGTGTTCCAACCTGGAAGCTGGGAAGGGCAATGTCATGGGAGGCGAGGTGGCTGTGGCAATTTGAGGTGGGCAGGGTTGTAGGGCACCTCTGGAGCCCCGCAGTGACCATGGTGCATGCTGCCCTGGGCAATCCTTGCCCACCCCTTGGCCTTCTCCCAGCCCGTGGGAACCCAGGGAGCCTTCTCAGGAAAGGGGAGGCTTCCATTTCTTTTTGGAGCCAGAGGAAGTCTCCTGGTCCAGCTCCCAGGTGGACCGAGGCTCTGAGTGGCAGAACTGGGGCTGGGGGTCATCTTTGGGATCTACCTCCTCTGACAGCAAAACCCTCCGCAGTCCTTGGACTGGCAGGGCATCGAGTCCCATAGCTTTCGAGTCTGCTCAAGGCTCACTGGGTCTGGGTCTCTGTTTCAGTGATGTGGCCGTGGAACTGCCCTTCACCCTAATGCACCCCAAGCCCAAAGAGGAACCCCCGCATCGGGAAGGTGAGCAGAATCTGTGGGTCTCTGGGGTAGGGGTTCTCCAGCAGCTGCCATGTGACCCTGTAACCCACCCCCTGCCCTGGGTTTGCCCTCAGCCCAGTCACCCTTTTCTCAGGTCCCCAGATCTTTTGTGGGGTCCAGAACTAAATGTGCTTCTGACCCTACCAGGAGACAGTGAGGTGTGGCTCCTGTTCCCCATGGGAGAGGGAGGCCGGGAGTGGAGGAGGGAGCCCACTGGCCACGCTTTGAGCCTCTGTCTTGCACTCAGGCAGGGGCTGGGTCCTGTTTGGAAGTAGGGGAAGGGGTTGCATGGATAAGATGACCACTGGACACACCACTGTCATGTTTTCTTCTTCTTCTTCTTTTTTTTTTTTTTTTGAGACAGAGTCTCTCTCTGTTGCCCAGGCTGGAGTGCAGTGGTATGATCTCAGCTCACTGCAACCTCTGCCTCCTGGGTTCAAGAGATTCTCCTGCCTCAGCCTCCCAAGTAGCTGGGATTACTGGAGGCTGCCACCATACCTCGCTGATTTTTGTGTTTTTAGTAGTGACAGGGTTTCACCATGTTGGCCAGGCTGGAGTTGAACTCCTAACCTCAGGTGATCCTCCCGCCTCACCCTCCCAGAGTGCTGGGATTACAGACCTGAGCCACCGCGCCTGGCCTGTCATGTTCTTCAAGTGTTACCAGATTGGTCATATTTCCTTGAGTCCGAGACTTTCAGTAGAGAGAGACAACATTATAGTAGGTACGATTAGGAAAGAACCTCCATGGCTAAATGTGCAGTGCCATCGATGGTAAGGAACTCCAAGTTCAGAGATGTTAAAATGTGAAGGAAACATTTTTTTAAAAGTTGTCTTAGAGTTGGTGAAAGGCATGCATGCAAGGAATTAACATAAGTCATGTTGGAGACCTGTCAAAAGGAACAGAGGTCTAGAGGATTTTCTGCTCTTCTGGGGCTGCAGTGGGCATTTGGGGCCCTCCTGGTGCCCTCCTCCCTGCCTTCCAGATAATTTGGGGTGTTTCAAGACCAAGAACGAGTCCTCCCCTCTCCATTCCCCTTTTTCCTTCGCCCTCCTCATGTTATCTGGTTGTCCCAGGGTGGGGGCCTGTGCCCACTCACCCCATGCTCATCCCTCACTAACCCCTGGACATCCTGCCCACTGCCCTGTGTTTAGTTCCAGAGAACGAGACGCCAGTAGATACCAATCTCATAGAACTTGACACAAAGTAAGCGGAACCCTGCCTGCAGATGTCTGGGTGGGCGGGCCGTGGGAGGGGAGGGCACAGGGTGGAGGGGTTCATTTGCATATATGCTTATTAACCCCTGAGGAGCCACTGGTCTAACCCCGTCTGCTGAGAGCCGCCTCTGCTCGCCTCTTCAGCAACCCGCTTGCCTGCATGTGACTTGAAGGACCCTCCGTGCCTGTTCCTCTTCCTCCTGCCTTGGTGGGGTCTGTCTTCCTCCCTCGTCCTTGCACATCCGTCCGTCAGTCCGTTCGTCCATCCACAGCACCTGCTCGGCTCACACAGGGCTGGTCCGTGGCCCTGGGCTCGGCTCTCCTGTCCTGCCCACGCCAACCAGTGGAATCAGGCTGTGGGGTGGGCAGGGGACCAGGGATCTTGTTGCTTCTGACTCCTGAGGACCAATCGATGTGGATTTTCCTGCAGTCAAAGGCCATCGAGTCACCAGACAGTGGCCAGAGGGGGAGGACCTGGGCCGACTGCGTGGACCACCTCCAGGGCCAAGCGGCCTTCTTGCTCCAACTCCAAAGCCAATCTTCCCTTGTCCCCCAGGAGAAATCTGGGGTGTGGGGGTCTCAAGTCGCCCCATGAGGATGCCCCATGCACTAGCTGAACCCTGTTGGGCAGGGGACCTGGTTGGACCCCTGTTGGTCCCTAAGTGGACGTATTTAATGATAGAAGGGTCTCGCTGTTCTTGAAGGCAGTCCTTAGTCTTGAAACCCCATTTAAGTCTCCCCCTTCCCCACAAACAGGTCCTCTGCCCTCCTATTTAGATTCACCATCCTCCTACCCCATCCTTCTCCTGTCCAGGATCCCCCATGGTAGAATCTGAGCTGACACCTCCTGGGAGAAAGGTTCTTCATGGTCTTGTCTTCCATTAAGCCAAACCACTCCTTTCTGTCCAGAAACAGGAATGCTTCCTAAGGGTGGTTGTCTGGGTGGTGGGGTGGCATTTGCCAGGCTATTCTTGGGGGATTCAGAACATGCTGTGAGGCTACTGGTGGCCTGGCCCCTCGCAGTGGGAATAAGTCCTTCCTCTGGCTACAGAGCCACACTGCTCCCCACACCTCCTAAAGAACCGGGTTACTTTTCCAGCCCTCAGGCACGAGAGTCAAATGCATGCCCCTCTCTGCCCCTTTTATGACTGGCCCGAGTCCTGATGTGACCGTCCCCACTGCCACAGGTGGCATCCACATGTGCCAGCCAGGCAGGCCTTTCTGCTCACGGTCAGCCCCAGAGGCCAGAGACCTCAGAGAGGGTGGTTCTCTCCCTGGGCCCAGAGCCACACTCTGAGTCACATCTGGCCGGGCCTTTGGATAAGTCTACCCTCCCTGCCCCTGCAAACACGCCACGTTTTCCTTGTCTCTCCCACCAGTGATGACGACATTGTATTTGAGGACTTTGCCCGTCAGAGACTGAAAGGCATGAAGGATGACAAGGAGGAAGAGGAGGACGGTACCGGCTCTCCACAGCTCAACAACAGATAGACGGGCCGGCCCTGCCTCCACGCGGCTCCAGCTCCACTCTCATGCACTCGGATGCTTATTCGTCTTCTTCCCATTCTGGTTTCTCCTCCCCTTTGTTCTTCCAATTTCTACCAGGGGACCCCCGTGGCCTTCCGGATCATGGTGATGAACCTCTGGGCTCAGGATTGGCCCCAAGTCACCATGCCAACAGGACCACAGCGCTCCGGCTCTACCCCGTCTCTGCCGGCACCTCCCCACTCCCCTGCTTTTCATGCTGTCTCCCAGAAAAGCTTCCAGGGCTCTGGCCTTGGAACTGGACTTGAGATGGGGAGCAGACAGGGGAGGATGGGGCATGCGTGTGGTGGGCATGAGGGCTTGGAGGGGTGGGGATGAGGGCTCAAGACACACGGGAAGATGTCCACGGTCCCAGGCAGTTAACACGGTTCTGGCAGCTAAAAGATGACGCATTGAAGGCCACCTCCTTCTGGCTGGGAGGGGCAGAACTGTGGACAGATTCTCAATGCCTTTTTGAAGTTCTGACCCACCAAAGACCTTCCACCTTCACCCTCCTTCCCACCTGATGTCCCCCTGTGTCTGATAGTGACATCGATGAAAGTTCGTAGACCCCAGGAGTACAGAAAAGCAACTGGACTGACTCCTACCAGCAGCTACCTAGACTGAGGCAAGCTGCGTGGACCCGCCCAAGTCTATTTCAGTACTTTCAGGCTGTGACATCTTAGCTACTTTGTATTTAATGTGCATGGACCTGTCTAGAGACATGCACAGAGAGAAAGGCAGAGAGAGGGAGGGAGGGAGGGGGTCTTCAGCAAGCACCAGCCCCCGGCAGAGTGAGCTGAAGCTCCTGAGGAGAGTTCTCAAAGTTGGGGGCACTCGGAGATGGGGACAGGGGGAGGGGAGAGGGGAGTCTGTCTTATGTCCCTTCCTTATGGACTTCACATGGTCATGCAGGAAGCAAGGCTGGGGGTCCAGCAGGGGCCGAGGCCACTAGTGTCTCCCGCATCCCCCTGCCATTCCCAGGGCTGGACTGACCCTGCGGACTGGGAGGGAGAGGCTGAGGCCACGATGCCACAGTCAAAGGGGTCCTACCCCAGAAGCTGGCAGCATCCATTGAGATATCCTCACCCAAAGGGAAGGAGGCTGCTGGGGCAAAGAAGCCCCTTCTTTTCTTGGGGAGTTGATGACCTCCAGTAGTTCCCAGTGTCATGGGTACCCAGTACACACACACTGGTGTTGGTGTGATTAAGACCTGGGGCATTTCCTGGGGCAAGAGGCCAGATGGGAGACAAGGTAGAAAGTGTTAGGAGTTATCCTCCTTGCCTGGCCTTTGAGAATAACTTGCTGTGTGACCTTGGACACGTTCCTTCCCCTCTCTGGCCCTCAGTTTCTCACTTGGTAAAGCAAAGAGCTTGACCAGATGATCACAATGGGCCCTCCTAGCTCTAGCCACCAAGAATCTGTGAACATTAGAGCTCCTGGTCTGGTGAGTGGAGCGAAAGCTGCAGACTGGCCTCTCTGCCTCCAGAGGGGACTTACTGGACCTCAGAGGTGACAGGGCCCTATGGAGCACCAACTGCCCTGAACCCCACCCCCCGCCCAGGACTGGAAAGGGATTGATGTCAGGCTGTGGCCATAGCTAGTATGAGGTGCTCAAGGAGGGACAGAGCATGTATTTGCTGAGGCTTAGCTGAGGGACTTGTGATAGGGCCTCCAGTACCTCACAGCTCCCTGTGGACGCAGACACCCTGAGGCTTACCCAAGCAAATATATTGATTAGCAGGACAAGAGCTCTTTCCTCAATTTCTGCTCCCTTCCATCTCTGTCCCATACTTGTCTGAAAAGAGAGAGAGAAAAATCTTGTACCAGTGGGATCTCAATCCTTTACTGTCCAGCACCTCCTGGGGCAGGCAGTGTGATTATTTCCCATGGTGAAATCATCCGTTTCACAATCCTGGCCGTGCACCTTCTGAGTCTCATGACCACTCAACCCAAGGGACCGCTCTTCCCCAGACCAGAACCAAGTCAGCTGGCGGCAGTGGTACTCCCCAGGCCAGTCCTGAGGGCCAGCAGCAGGTGTCTCAGCCTCTCTCAGAGCTTGCTGGGCAGGCTGCATCTCATCTGGGCAGGCATGTAGCTGATGAAATGCTGGAGCAATGCATGGCAAGCATATGCCCTCCAGTGTCTTCCTCTGAAACCTTTGGGGCTGACACAAGACCCTTTAGTTTCTGGGATGACCGCTCTCCTGCAGACCTCTTCCCCTGTTCCTAATGCATGCATGAAAAAGGTTTGTCAGGCTGGTTTCCTGAGCCTCCACCTCAACATGACACTCACTCTTTTGGGTTTAGCTTAGTGTTATGTAGCAAATTTCTCCAGCTGCAGGGAAGCATCAGAGCACTTTTTTTTTTCTCCTTAGGTTGAATCCAGCCTAACCATTCTTTGCTCAGCTCTATGACTCAGCTCTATGCCAAGTGCGGGAGACAGAGACGGGTCAGTCTCAGCCCCTATCCTCAGGAAGCCCGTGGTCAGGGGAACATTGTAGGGGGAAGTAATAGAGGGCAGGTCCCTTTTGGGCTCTTGATGGCTGCTGGTCCCTACGGTGCCTTGATGTGAATTAGAAGACGTGTCCTTTCCGGGTGGATTCAGACCCACACTAGACTGTGCAGCTTTGTGAGTGACACACAGGTTAGGTTTGGCACCCCTTGCCCCATGGCCAGGTGCCCTGCTGCATGGCCATGTGCTGTAGCCTCGAGGGACACACAGGCCAAAAAGGCTGTGTTTCCTTCAGCCTCTTCCTGGAGAGGAAGGCCCAGGTCATCTTTCCAAGCTTCTGGTCGGCTCCAAACACCGTCTCCCAGCCTCCAAACACAGCTGAGCGAGTGCTGTTCTGCAGAGCCCCTTTCCATTCTGAAGTCAGCCTGCCCAGGTGAGACCTTGAAGTGAAACTTGGGGTGGGGGAGCCTCACTGGCCCCCAGGCACCAGCCCACAGTATTGGTGGTTTCTGTACCAAGCATTTGGGGCCTGTGCTGGCAAAGTCATCGCTCATTGGGACTTTGCGGCGCTTCCTGTGGGTGGCACATGGACACTGGTCTGGGCAGGAAGGAAGAGCATGCCCCAGGGAAAACCCACCAAGCAGAGGGCCAGCTGGACCTCCTCGGCATTCCACCCAGGGGAAGAGTTGAGTCCCCATGAAGATGAAGACCGAGTTATTTGGCTGCACCCTCCTCAGCCTCAGAGCTCCGACCCGCTAGAGTGGGTTCACCTGGCTGTTGGTTGTGTGGGAGAGTTCCTGACAAGCTGGTTCCCACGTGGTGCAGTCAAAGGAATTCTGTCCTGCAAGTCCCCAGTGCTGCCTCTGAATCCTGGCTGTTACCAACCACCTGGGGGGCTTGGGCAAGCTACTTGACCTCTTGGGCTCAGTTTCCCTAACTGTAAAATGGGACTGTAATCCCTTCCCTGCCTGATGCAGGAATTGTTATGAGGCCCAGATGAAATGAAAGTCAGCGGTCAGGGCTCTGTACATTGAAAATGGCTGCACGGGTGTGGCCCTGTCACTGCAGGGATGACCCAAGGCCACACAGGAAGTTTGCTGCAGGAGGAGCCCTCCTCACCAGTCGTCCTCTCTTGCCCTGCTTCTCGCTTAGGCAGATGTCAACCAGAATGAGATACAGCCAGTTTGGCTTTGACCCAGCTGAGAGTAGACACAATTCAGGAATATCATGCCCAAAAATAGTGGTCCCAGCAACCGAGACACAGAGGGAAGACATGGGCGTTGTCAGCGACTGCTGGATGGGGACATCTTGGACCCTCCTCAGCCTGGTGTCACTCACATCTTCCATCTCTCAGACCCCACAGAGGCCAAGAGGCCTTGGCTCTGACCCCAGGTTAAAGAGCGCCTCCAGCTCCCAGGCTCAGGGAGCTGAAACCACCACTATTCCACCGCAGAAATCTAAGGGCAAGGAGAAATAGAAATTGCCTGTTCCTTCCCTTGAAAGTGTAAGGCCTCTTCCAGGACCAACTGGAGCCACCACAGCTTCTTGGCGACATTGGGAGGGCTTTGGGCCCAGGGAGAATCCAAGCCTTTTGCCCTGAGAGCTGAGCCTCAGGGGATCCATCCCCCAGTGGTGTCAGCAGCCCAGAGCAGCAGCTTCTCTTCTGCCGGTCACTGGGGATGGATGCTCTCCACCCATCCAGGAGGAAGGGGTGAGGCCCCGGTCTTACACTCTTATAGGGTCTCATGGACATAGGCCTATACCTGTTCTGATACAGATATTTTATTATTATTTTTCCATCAGGTTATCTAAACAGATATTTTTTAAACTCAATAAGGACCAAAACAGACTCCTGAACCCTCATGTATATGGCCTGCAATGGGCCTGGTGTTGTGTCCTCCTGGCCCAGGCAGCGCCATCACTTCTGCCCTCCCTCCTGGTCTAAAGTGGCAGGATCCCCATCTCTGCCTCTTCCGTACAGGGTCACTGCACAGCAGCTTCAAAGAGAGGCCCTGTTGAAGGGGAAACATCCTCCCCGCTTCATGCTCCCAACTCCTCACCCCAAAAGGGAAGTTAAAGCACAGGTCCATGGGACCCATGGTTTGTAGACACTGACACAGTGGTTTTCAAACCAGGTGCTGTGGAACCCCTGGTATTCCACAGAGCTTTGTCAGGGGCTGCTAAGGTGGGAAGATGGGAGTGGAGGCAAAGGATAGGTTTCCAGCCCTCCTCCCATTTCCGCCTCCACCAGAACAACTCTGCTTTTATGTCTTGCCTACCGAGATTTCATTTTCAAGCTTTCTTTGAAGAAAAACTTCAAACCACCATCTTGAAGTTTGATCTTAGACCAGCAAGCACAGGTTCTATTCTTGCTGTTCACATTGGAATGGCTCCAGCACTCCAGCATTCCAGTACAAAGTGTCTTTGTGTTGGAACTTGGGTCACAGACCCAGGCCCAAGCATTTACGCGCGCGCGCGCGCGCACACACACACACACACACACACACACACACACACACACAGTTGATGGTTTTTCTAGCCAACCCACCCTGAAGCTCTGACCAAGGTTTGATTTGGACAGGGGACTGGTGCTCAGTGGGGATGGGTCTTGACCCCGATATTGGCCCATGAAGTATGGGGAGCTCTGGAGCAAGGAAACTGCCTCAATCCCCTGCCGAGGACTTGTGTCTGCGTCCCTGTGTGGCACCCCACTTTCCTGGCCCAAGCCCAATGGACAGCAGGAGAAGCAGGGTGATGCAGAGAGAGGCTAGGGTTAAATTCATTTTTATGTAAAGCCAGATGGATGGAAATCTTGGCTCACATAAAAGACAGACTCAGGGAGGATTTTATGACAAAAGGCCCTCCTTTGATGGCAGGATTCCCCCAGGAATCCTGGACATTTTGGTGAGACCTGGACCAGCCCTTGGCACAAAATCCTGCCTGCCCTGCCCCCACCCGCCACCCCCAGGGAATTCTAGGGGAAAATGTGGAGCTCAGGGCACAGCAAGCACATGACACGGGTGTACTACATTGGTCCAAGTGTGTCCTTAGTTCCCCTGTGTGTAAAATGGGGCTAGTGCCAGGCTCTTCCCACCTCACTGGGACAACTGCAAGGGTCATAGGAGAGGTGGATATGGTGGTCATCTGAGGTGGTGAGTATGAGAGGTGGGTGCCTCACAAACTTGGGGTGTGGTCCTGACCTGCACGGTAGATAAGCAGAGCACTTGGGAACTAGCATAGGAAGTGCCGTCTTCCTGGGCATCTCTGCCCAGTGTGAAGGTCCAGCCACAAGTGCTGTGGGATCTGCCTCTTCCTATGGAATGGGAGCCTGCATGGGTTGTGTCCTGGGGCGGGAGTGAGAGATGGCTGGGGAGAGTCTCCAGGTCTGCGGCCCTTGTGTTGAGTGATTATTTTGTGCCATGCTCATTCCTGGACCACCTGCCAGGTTTATCTGTTATACCTGTGGCATTCTTATTATGTCAGACGAGTTATTATAGTTTATTCAACTCTAACAAACGAACAAAAGAACAATAAATAGGAGGCCATTAAAGGTCTTTTGTGACAGAGGATGCTGGCTGTGCTTTCATTTCTGTCTCATAAGCCCATGGCAGGACAAAGACGAAATGCTGGCCTGCTGCCCTGGACTGGCAGATGGAACTCATGACTGGGTGTTCGTTTCCCTTGTCTGTGGCCCCAGCTCCAGCCTGGTCCTGGCACCCACTTCTGGAGACTGCCAAGGACTTTTCTCCTGTCCCTCTCCCAACACTTCTCAGCCCTATGGCCTTGGGAAGCTGCCGAACCAGTTACCGCTGGACTTTATGCCCATGGTTTGCTCCTGGGGTGAAGCCATCCCATCTTCTATTTTTGGCATCACTGACCACATCAGCTGGAGTCCTTGCCCCAGCCCCAGCCCTGGTTCTTGTTCAGTGCTCATCTCCTGCTCTGCTGGGTCTTCCTAAATTCACCTCGGTTTTCTAAGACTTATCTGCCACCTGGTCTAACGGAACATATGGGAGGAGTAAGGATATCGGTGAGAAACAGTCGATGTTCTAAACGCTAATGTGCTGTATTAACACCAAAGGAAGACATCCATGTGTATAAGATGTCTATCCTAGAAAATTAATTATATATGAACTATATATATATATATTTTGAGACAGAATCTCGATCTGTCACCTAGGTTGGAGTGCAGTGGCACGATCTTGGCTCACTGCAACCTCTGCCTCCCAGGTTCAAGAGATTCTCATGTCTCAGCCTCCCCAGTAGCTGGGATTACAAGTGTGTGCCAACATGTCCATCTAATTTTTGTATTTTTTTTTTGTAGAGATGGGGTTTTTCCATGCTGGCCAGGATGGTCTTGAACTTCTGGTGAACAGTAT